CTATTGCCTTATGAAATGTATTTCTTAAATAATAAGACTTGAAAGTAGAAATTACTCTTTGATCCATGGGCTGCAGAATGGATGTTGTGTTAGGCGTAAAAACAACATTCATCTCCTTGAACCTTTCCATCAGAGCTCTTGGGTGACTAAGTGGATTGTTAATGAGCAGTATTGAAAATCATTTTTTTTTCCTAAGCAGTAGGTCTGAACAGTGGGCTTAAAATATTCAGCAAGCCATTCTGTAAACACATGCTGTCATCTAGGCTTTGTTCCGTTTCTAGAGCACAGGTGAGGAGACCGAGCATAATTCTTAAGTGCCCTAGGATTTTCAGAACGGTAAAGGAGCACTGGCTTCAACTTCAAGTCACCACCTGCATTAGCCCCTAACAAGAGTCAGCCTGTATTTTGACGTTTTGGACTCTTCCAGTAGAAGGCTGTTTTGTTTACATGGAGGATCTGTTGTTTAATGTAGTCACCTTTATCAATGATCTTAGCTAGGTCTTCTGAGTAATTTGCTGCAACATCTTCATTAGCACTTTCTCCCTCCCTCACCTTGCGCTTTTATGTTATGGAGACGGCTTCTTCAGCCTCTGAACCGGCCTCTGCTAGCTTCAGCCTTCTCGTCTGTGGCTTCCTCACCTCTCTGAGCCTTCAGAGAATTGAAGAGTTAGGGCTTGGATTAGGATTAGGTTTTGGCTTAAGGGAATGCTGTGGCTGGTTTGGTTTTCTATCCAGACCACTAAAACTTTCTGTGTTTCACGAAACACTGTTTTGCTTCATTACCATTTGTGTGTTCACTGGAATAGCACTTTCCATTTCCTTCAAAAACTTTTCCTTTGCATTCACAATTTGGCTAATTGTTTGGCGCATGAGGTCTAGCTCTCAGCCTGTCTTGGCTTTCAACATGCCTTTCTCACTAAGCTTAATCATTTCTAACTTTTCATTTCAAGTGACAGACTTGTGATTCTTCTTTTCACCTGAACACTTAGAAGCCATTGTAGGGTTATTAACTGGCCAAATTTGAATATTGTTGTGTGTCAGGGAATAAGGAAGCCAGAAAAGGAGAGAGACAGGGAACAACCAGTCAGTGGAGGAGTCAGGACACACACCACCTTTATGGGTGGTTTGCCATCTTATATGGGCGCTGCTCATGGTGCCCCAAAAGTTACGATAGTAATATCAAAGATCACTGATCACCATCACACAGATAATAATCATGAACAGGTCTGAAATATTGTGAGAATTACCAAAATATGACACAGAGACACAAAGGAGAGCACATGCTATTAAAAAAATAGTGCTGATAGACTTGCTTGACGCAGGGTTGCCACAAACCTTCAGTTAAAAAAAAAAAAAAAAATCAAAGCACAATAAAACAAGGTATGCTTGTATTTAGAAGAAAGCCAGAATTTCACTTGTAACAATCAAAACAAAACACAAGGGTCATCCTCCTGCCATTAAAATGTGGTAATTAAGGAACTGAAATTTCTGGAACATCAAGGCTTCTTTACTGGCCTCAGAGTACAGACACTGCTAAAGAAAGAAGGCAGGGTGGCAAAAATCATACTTCACTAATGACCAACCCCCCTTCCCAATTGGAGTTAATACACCACACAAAGAAATACGTAAAGGAAAAACTGCAGAACAAAGGTTCTTCATGCTACTACAGGACTTGAGCAGAGGCTCAGCAAGTTTTGATAGCCCTTTTGGATTTTCCACACTGTGTAGCTGATTAACTCAGCAGAAGTTCACAGAAGTGAGACACCTCTGACTGTGCTCTAAAAGAAAATATCAAAAAGAGCTCAGAAGAGATCAGAGCCCAGGTCACCATCAAACTTTTTCCTCAGCCACAGCAAAACAATTTCACACTGCCCCAAATTCCTATACAACCAGTACAGTTGTAATTGCCTATGTCACCAGTCTTATAACCTTAAAACATACTCACTTAAAGCCAATAAAACTTGGAAGGTAAGAACAGAAAGAAGAAGATGATGCTCATTTTTCACAGGAGGAAGTACACTGATATGGTCTTAAAAGTTAACATGTATAGTTTGTTTTTTTTTTAAAAAGATCTCTAATCTCTTTAATATTTTTCTTAACCATAGTGAGATAGATCTTTTGCTTGATGATAACAGGAAAATAAATCTAAGCTAAAACAGAAATACTGCTGAACTTCAGATAATTTTTAAAAGCACAAGAGATATTAGTTCTCAAAATATTAAGGAAAAGGTTATAAGATTAAAGCTTAGGATTATTATGGGTTTTTTGTGTGCTTGTTTTTAACAGAATGTATAAAATCTCATTCTAGCAACTCTTATCTGGCTATCCAGAGACATGTCTGAAACAATGCTTACCAGATAGAAGCATTAGCATTCTGGATGATGTGCTCTGAAGAACTGTTTCTTTTTCTTCCCTTTTTTCCTCCTCTTTTTTTTTTTTTCTTTTTTGAGACAGGGTCTCACTTTGTCACCTGGGCTGGAGTGCAGTGGCACAATCGCAGCTCACTGCAACCTCTGCCTCCTGGACTCAAGTGATCTTCCTACCTCGGCCCCCACAAGTAGCTGGGACTACAGGCGTGAGCCACCACACCCAGCTAATTTTTGTAATTTTTGTAGAGACGGGGTTTTCACCATGTTGCCCAGGCTGGTTTCAAACTCCTAAGCTCAAGTGATCCACCCAACTTAGCCTCCCAAAGTGCTATGATTACACCTTTTTTCCTACTCTTTTCTATGGCTTATGATTTATTTTATTTTAATTTTACTGTGTGTGTGTGTGTGTGTGTGTGCGCGCGCGTATGTATGTATGTATTTTGAGACAGAGTTTCACTCTGTTGCCAGGCTGCAGTGCAGTGGCGTGATCTCGGCTTACTGCAACCTCCACCTCTCGGGTTCAAGCGATTCTCCTGCCTCAGCCTCCTGAGTACCTGCCACCATGCCCAGCTAATTTTTGTATTTTTTGTAGAGATAGGGTTTCACCATGTTGGCCAGGATGGTCTCGATCTCTTGACCTCATGATCCGTCCGCCTCGGCCTCCCAAAGTGCTGGGATTACAGGCGTGAGCGACTGTGCCCGGCCGGCTTATGATTCTTTTATATTAAACCTAATGTTTACAGTTAAATCACTTTTATTCAAAAACATATTTGTGTTATAATTACAATGTAGTATGTATAGATGAGGACTAGATGCAAACAAACAAAAAATGGACATCCCAGGGTGACACTTAGGGTAAAAGTTTTCTTCCATTTCATGTTACTATAATGTCTGGGTAGATTTTAAAAAACCTTTTTTAAGTAACTGAAACCCTAAGAGGTAACTCTGAGCACATAAAGACATAAATGTCTTAGTGATGCATCGGAGCTTGGGAAATAAACTGGCTTTTTTGGGGAAAAGCAGCAGAAAAGCACTAAAATGAAAGCTGTACCTGAATGAGGTGATGGGTCCCCTTCCTCTCTCCGTGTCTCACCACTAGTCACAACTGAGGTGTTGGCAGTACCAGGCACTACTCCCATAGGCTGGGACATGACAACTCCATGATCCTCAACTTTGTCATCAAAGCTTCCCATGAGAGCCTTCCTGATAATGTCTTCCAGCCCGAGATTGCTGGCAGGATCAGCAAAAGAATGGCCTCTAGAGCTAACTGAGCCTGAAAAAGAATCAAAAACATTTCTACTTATTTCTGAAAGGCCAATCAGGAAACAAACATGCACTGCCCCATCAGCCCACTGAATACACATAGCACTTGGCAAGTGACCTAGAACACCACCAGGACCCACCACACAGAGACCCCCTTTTTTTTTGTTTTTGGAGACAGAGTCTCTGTTGCACCCAGGCTGAAGTGCAGTGGTATGATCTTGGCTCACTGCAACATCCGCCTCCCAGGTTCAAGGGATTCTCCCACCTCAGTCTCCCAAGTAGCTGGGACTACAGGTACCCACAACCACACTGGGCTACTTTTTTGTATTTTTAGGAAACGGGGTTTCACCATATTGGTCAGGCTGGTCTCGAACTCCCAACCTCAGGTGATCCGCCTGCCTTGGCCTCCCAAAGTGCTGGGATTACAGGCGTGAGCCACTGCACCCAGCCCAGAGACCATCTTAATCCACAAATAATTCCTTAAGGAAATTTGTTTCCCAAGTGAAACTCACACTTTTATTAAAGTTACTCAACAGTTTTCCCAGTTCCCTAGTTTCAACCTTGTTCTTTAATAGTTTCCATTCTTTTTGTTCATTTATCTTTTCAATAGGTATTTATTGGATCTCAGTTCCTTTGTGTGCTACTGGGTAAACCTTCCTTCACTAAATTATTTATTCATTTTTTCATATTAGAGCAGTCACTCCCCTGGTATACAGTTGGTACTCAGTACATATTTGTTGGACTGACTACTGCTGTGCCAATTTTGTACTGGTAAATAATGTCTTTTCAGTCTTACCTGATGTAGTAACTGCTGGCAGATTAAAGATCTCAGTTCCTGGCTGAGCAGCTGCTATATTTAAGCAAACATTTGAGTTAATTAAGATGTGATAATCATATACACCAAACTAAAGTCTCAAAAAATTCCTATAATAAAATTAATCTTTTTATTTTCCATGACCTCAACCTTTATTTTTCACCCATTAAGTGAAGATAAAATGGAAGAACTTTTTTTTTTTTTGTGAGACAGGGTCTCACTCTGTTGCCCAGGCTGTTTTTTAAAAGGAAATCAGGAAATAGGTAAGGTAAGAACATCAAAAGAAGAGCAATAACCTGTGTGCAGTGGTGCACTTCTAGTCCCCCAGCTACTCAGGAGGCTGAGGCGGTAGGATTGCTTGAGCTCAGGAATTTGACGCCAGCCTGGGCAACACAGTGAGACTCTCCCAAAAAGGTAAATGAAGGAGCAATGTAACCCAGAAAAGTTAAGGAACTTTGCACTGCTGGAGAAAAACAAATAGGAAAATGCTGTTCTCAGAACAGGAACCAAGGCTTTCTGATGAAGAAGAAACCTTGGACTCTGGGATGACCGCCATGAGTACCAACAGGTCTGAGGCAGCCTGGGATGTGATCCAGAGGAAAGCCACCACAGTGAATACTATGAAAATGACTGTGTTTCCCTGCATGGCTAACTGGAAACTCAGGATATTTGCTGGAAAACACAAAAGACTCTTGATCCTTTTCATTCCTGCTGACTGTGCAACTTGTAATCTGAAGTTTGAATGCTAACAGCATAAGACCTGGGAACCGCCTATAATAAAGCAGTGTGCCAGAAAGGGGAAGAATTTGGGACATAAATTGGTGTTTCCGTCATTCCCAACTTGATGCTAAGAATTTTAAAGAGAAAAAAAAAATGCAGAAAGCAAGTGGGTGGCCAAATGATGTGTCCCGAAGAATGTGAAATTTCTTTTTTTTTTTCCTTTGAGACGGTGTTTCATTGTCACCCAGGCTGGAGTGCAATGGCGTGATCTAGGCTCACTGCAACCTCTGCCTCCTGGGTTCAAGCAATTCTCCTGCCTCAGCCTCCTGAGCAGCTGGGATTACAGGCCTCCACCACCACACCCAGCTAATTTTTGTATTTTTAGTAGAGACGGAGTTTCACCATTTTGGCCAGGCTGGTCTCGAATTCCTGACCTCAGGTGATCCGCCCACCTCAGCCTCCCAAAGTGCTGGGATTACAGGCGTGAGCTACCGTGCCCCACCACAATGAAATTTCTAATGAAACCACAGAACGATGGACTCTCACCCAAGGGGTGAGCACATTAGAGAAGAGGGAAGAGTGCAAGTGCCTAGAAACAAACTTGATTAGGGAGGCTTTAAACTGACAGAGGAGAAAAGTCTTCAGAAGAACTAGAAAACAATGGCCATGGATGATAGTCTTCTTATGGGCCAGGTGACTAGGTAAATAATTTGAGCCTGAAATAGCAGAGCCATGTTATCATGAAGTGTGTGGAATAGGAGTCATTCAATCATTCGATAGATATTTAATTGAGCAGTTATTTGGCTGAATCGTAAGATTACCTTCTTATTGATCAAAAATGGTCAGATGAAGACAATTTCCTATAAGTTAACCAATGATAATCCTTAGATACTACATTTGCAGGATACCCCCTCCTTTGCTTATGGAGCTTACAGTGCAGTGTGGTACTTGCTGAGGCCAAATTAGAATCACCTGGGTAGCTTAGCAAATTGTCTACATTCCTGGGGCCGCATAGTTCAACTATTTAATAAGCAGTCCAGGTGACTGGTACCTACTGTTGAGCAAGAATGTGGTAACTGCTCAGAACTTAGCGAAGGGAAGGCAGGCAAGTGAAAGCCACTGTGGAGGCCAACTTGACAGGAAGAGGTAACTCCCATCAGGAGGCAGAGAGACCAGGATAGTGACAGCCAGGGTAAAGGTAACTGTGGTAGGGAAGCAGGAGGAACTTTTTGTGTGGGGAGGTAGAATATGAATTCAAGTTTAGATACTTAAGGAGCCAGTAAGTTAGTCAAGAAGTAATGAGGTCTGCAAAGATATGTAAGTAGAGCTTAGTAGGAAAAGCTGGACTACAGATACAAATTTGGGAGTTTTCAGCATACAGGTGACCATTCAAATCCCGAGTAGATGAGATGACTCAGATTATAAGGCATGAGGAGAAAGGGGCTAAGAAGTGAGCCCTGGGGAAAACTAACAGTCAAGGGCCAGGCAAAGCAAGACTGAGCTTCTAAGGAGAGACAAGTGGCCAGAGAAGTAGAGAAGAAACAGGAGAACATGGCATCAGAAAGCCAAAAGAAAGCATTTCAGGGAAGGAAAGTGGTTCACTGTGTCAAAAGCTGCAAAGAGAATCCAATAAAGTAAGTTTTAAAGCATTACAGTTTTCAAAACAATAAAGTCATTGATGTCCTTGGGAACACTGGATTCGGATACAATGAGCTGAAGTGAAGCTGTGTTAGCCGCTGATGGCTTTCATTTCGTTCTGCTTCTCAGTGAAGGCTAAATGTGCCATGGTGGGCCCAGGAGCCCACTGGTTCTTTAATATAAATTCTCCTTTCCACCATGAAAAATAGTTCTTGCAATAAAAAAAAAATCCCGGACTCTAAAGCAATTCTGTTAGTACTTCCCTTAAGACATTAATTATCTCCTGTTAAAGTTAGGTACTTGTTTCATCATACAGCTTCAGGGAGTAGAGACCATCTGGCATACTAAAACACCCAACATAGTACACTACTCAAAACATTAGGCAAGAGAGGAAAAACTATAAAGTAGGCTTCTTCATGTCAAACATGGCATTTCCCTGTCAAGAGTTTCCCACTTTAAGGGTAAGATAGACTAGCGGATGAGAGCAAACCACACAAAGGTGAAATGATTTGCATCTCAGTTCCCGGCTGCACTGAGATCTCTAGCTCTCCATGCTCACACAGATTCATCTATGAGTGCCGAAAGAATTTGAAAATGAGAGTATATTTTTGTTGGTGACACTTGAGGAGCTGTAAATAATACATTAAACTGTTGAAGACTGGAGACAGAAAATAGTAATAACAATATTTTTTAAAAGAAAGGTGGCCAGACACGGTGGCTCATGCCTGTAATCCCAGCACTTTGGGAGGCTGAGGTGGGCGGATCACCTGAGGTTGGGAGTTCGAGACCAGCCTGGCCAACATGGAGAAACCCCGTCTCTACTAAAAATACAAAATTAGCCAGACTTGGTGATGGGTGCCTGTAATACCAGCTACTTGGGAGGCTGGTGCGGGAGAATCACATGAACCCGGGAGGCAGAGGTTGCAGTGAGCCAAGACTGCGCCACTGCACTCCAGCCTGGGCCACGGAGTAAAACTCCATCTCAAAAAAAAAAAAGAAAAGAAAAGAAAAGAAAAGAAAGGGTATCTGTAAACCTGATAACAGTTCTCATCAGCATTCTAAAATATTTGTCTTTTAGATTATTTTGTTGCCACCTAAACAGAGAATCTAGTAATTCAGAGCGAGGACAAGTTCAGAAACAGAGTGGCACAGATCTAAACACATATCACAGTGCAAGGCCCCCCACTTTCCTTTCTTTTGACAGGGTCAGGAGACTAGTAGATGGTAGATCACAGAAATAAAGCAGATCACCCTTTCCTCAGCTGCTGCCACAGTGCTCAGTCCTTCCAAGGAAGCTAAGGCCACGTTGGGGTAAGGCCCTCACTTGATCCAGCGACTAGCACCACATCCGGTAGTGCCAGCCCCACACTCGCCTGCGCCCTGGCCTCTGTCTCCGAGCTTGCCTGCATCTCCTCAGCCCTCACTCTGCATGGCAATGAGGTGACCATCACAGAGGATAAGACCAATGCCCTCATTAAGCAACTGGTGTAAATGTTGAACCTTTTTGGTCTAGCTTGTTTGCAATGGCCCTGGCCAATGTCAACACTGGGAGCCTCATTTGCAATGTAGGGGCTGGTGGACCTGCTCCAGCAGCTGGTGCTACACCAGCAGGAGATCCTGCCCACTCCACTACTGCTGCTCCAGCTAAGGAGAAGAAAGTGGAAGCAAAGAAGGAAGAATCTGAGGAGTGTGATGACACGGGCTTTAGTCGTTTTGACTAAATCTCTTATAATGTGTTCAATACAAAGCTGAACTTAAGAAAAAAAAGAAAGAATAAACCAGACTATGGTATACCCAAAGTCTTTCTATCACAGGGACTGAGGAAAAGACTGATAAGACCGGGGGATAGTACTGAGTGTGCTGAGAGAGTGCTGAGAGAGCACGAGGAGGTTCTGATTAATACTTGCATATCAACCCAGAGGAAAGGTTCTGCCACAGAGCATTAGCCAGGGTATTTACCAACAATCTGCCTAAGATGCTATGAGTATGGAACTGTTGAAGCCAGCTGGTCCATCATTAGCAACATGGACTCTGGAGTTGGAATGCCTGGGTTTGAACAGCAGCCTCATTACTTACTAGATATGTAACCTGTTCCAACTCTTAAACTTGAGTATGTTTCCTCATCTACAAAATGGAGATAATTGTAACGTGTAATATGTAGGGTTGTTGTGAGGAATAAATGAGATTATATCTACACGTGCTTAGAATAGAGCCTACCACATAGTACATGCTAGATAACCTTTTGCTACCATTATTACTGATTTTATATTTTATTTTATTTATTTTATTATTTTTTTTGAGACAGAGAC